TTACAGTTCATTTTAATGCGGTTGCCGCGTTAACGCGGTCCTGCGCACGGATCCCAAATCCCGCGTTCTCGCGAGGGTCCGGTGTACCTTATAAACTGCTCTGTACTGTGTGTTCTAAGTAATCACCTCACATACCTCTGAAGCTGAATAATTTCTAATTTCTGAATATATAAATAAATTTGCCCTTGCCACCATACTGTGCAACAGAGCTTAAAGCGCTCTGTACTCTAGCTACAGAAGCAAATCAGCTCTTTCAAAGCAGGCTTAGTGAAGTGCAGCTACCTGTGGGTTGGAATTTGGCAGCTGACTATGGGTGCATCAGTAGCAATACAATGTAACTTTAGGAAAGGAATTGATCAACAACCTTGTCCGTTTGCAGCTATGAAACTATTTTGTAAATAAGCTTAATTTTACTACTCAAAATGTAATTTGGTCAGGAGACCTAACAACGTACTTGTACAAAAAGTGCTATGGGATTATTAATGATTGCAAATGAACAGGATCTTGATTTTATATGCTATCTAAAGGACAGAGGGTTTGAAAGTTCATATTAGAATTACAATTGGGGACTTCTGTTGGATTATCTAGTGTAGATATTATGGTGACCGCTGCACTAAAAATGTACACACAGGCTCTGATTCTGCAATTGGATCCATGCAGGCAGGTTCTTGCAGAGATTCTTTGACTTCAGTGGCACTCCAAAAGACGATTGCAGATTTGGGTCCTTAAATCCAGCCGTCCCTTTCTGTATCATCATGGGACTGAGTTCAGTACTATCCCAGATAGGTGTTATGTATACAACCTCCTTCAGTAGGTTACACTGACTTTTTAATTCATAACGATACATGCTGTCATTGAAGAGCTTCCACAAAAAGATCAAAACTTGGGTTTGATAAATATGTGGAGGTCATTCTTGTCCAGGGTGGTGTTTGGATTAGGGCCAGAACTGAAATCACCCTTACTGTATCTCAGAAACGTTAAATAAGCAGAGGTATGAGGGGGCAGTGGTTGAAACAGGTTCAGAGGAATCTCTTTTGTGAGAACTTTACCACCTTCTATAGCATCTTCTTTGTAGGATTTCAAAGCTCTTTGCAATGAATATTGACTAAAGCCTCACAGCATTCCTTCAAGGTAGCTAAGTATTATCCCAGTTTTGTCCAAATTCCTGTCCTGCTGTGGTCCATGCTTGCATACATTGGTGGAGTCGAATTATGTATAGTGTGGAAAAATGTGATCTACCTTGTCATGTTCTAACTTCAAGTGCTGTGAATCAATAGTATGGGACTGTGTTGTCTGGAATTGAATCCATTTTCTAAAAGCGTATATCTTAGGCTATTTTTTTATTACTGGCCATCAGAACCCAATAAAACAGCCTCTAATTCATTCCATAGCAACACAAAGTAGGGGTTATCGGTGAAAAATACCATTGTTGAGCGGTTGGCTGACTTAGAATGGGTGATAGCATGTGGAGTCTTTCCCCTCTTAGTAGCTGGGCTGAGTTGGGCCCCAAGTGGGTGACAACTGGGCAGTTTGTCTTACACAGAAAGAACTTTTTTCATTTACAGAGTGCATCTATCCCCATTCCCCAGGCATGAAATCCTGGCCCCACTGAAGTCAAAGGCAAAGCTCCCATTTATTTCAGTGGGGCTGGGATTTTGCCATAGGAGTTGGAGCTGTCAGTTTGTGTCCCTATCACAAAATCACTGCCACAAATGGCACTAATTGGCACTCTTGTGAGCAGTGTCAGAAAGGCTGAGGATTAATAGATGTGGAGACTCAGCCATCCTCTCATCCCAAAAGTTTCTCCTTCGCAGTATTTGGATGCATTGGCAGGAGGTGGTGGTGTTTTTATTGCTGTTGCTCATGCTGTACCTGCCTTGTAGAGTTTCAGTTTCAATGCTGTCAGTCCAGCACCTCTCACCAACCTAAAGCTGTAAAAGAAAAAGGGCATGGCAGGGGATTGTTAGCTGTGATGTCACAGCTCTTTCCCCCTTTAAATAAACAGATGAGTTAAGTAAATTCCACCTTGGCTGTGTTATTCTAATGATGGGATTTTAGATCTTGAGCATTCATTCTAGAACAGCATTTCTGGATTTAAAAATCGAAAAGCACTTGGGTATATGTGTCTTGTATTCCAGGACAGATGTTTATGGTTTAAAGCTACTTACAGCATTAGGCTGGCCTGGAAACACATTGTATGGCTGGAAAAAAGAATTTTGTGATCACAACATGCATCCTGTGGCAATTGTGGACCTAATTTATAACCTTATTCTGTGTTACCATCAACTCCAAGCTCAGACCCTGTTCAGATGATGTCATTACACAAAAATATTTACTGCTATCTGCATATAGGAAGGAGTTGATGATGATAAAACCTGATTTGCTTTGATTTCTTTGAAAAATCCAGCCATTTTTGTTCTAAATCTCTGTCAGGGAGGCCCCATCCCACTCTGAACCATTTTGCAGATCAATTTACTTTGAAATTTGGCTTCTGCTTTTAGTTTCTGGCATCGCTAGTTCAGGTATCGCTCCCCATGAGCAAAATCATACTCCTACTGTGGGCCCAGAGGTCTCCAGACACAACTGAAATAATGTGGTTATCCAGTGTTGAGAGGTGGCTGGGAGACAGGATTTTCTGATCCCATTCAGGGAGGCCTTGCATCCTGCTCACCACAGAGCCCTGCCCTATAAAAATGGTCATAGTGGGCTAGTCCATCCAGCCCAATAGACTGCACTGACAATGGCCAATGCCAGATGCTTCAGAGGGAACAGGGCAATTATTGAGTGATCCATCCCCTGTCATCCAGTCCCAGCATCTGGCAGTCAGAGACTTAGGGACATCCAGAGTCTGGGGTTGCATCCCTGATGATCTTGGCTAATAGCCGTTGATGTGCCTATCCTCCATGAATCTATCTAGTTCTTTTTTGAACCCAGTTGTACTTTTGGCCTTCACAGCATGCCCTGGAAATGAGTACCGTAGGTTCATAGAATCATAGAATATCAGGGTTGGAAGGGACCTCAGGAGGTCATTTAGTCCAACCCCCTGCTCAAAGCAGGACCAATCCCCAACTAAATCATCCCAGCCAGGGCTTTGTCAAGGCTGACTTTAAAAACTTCAAAGGAAGGAGATTCCACCACTTCCCTAGGTAACGCATTCCAGTGCTTCACCACCCTCCTAGTGAAAAAGTTTTTCCTAATATTCAACCTAAGCCTCCCCCACTGCAACTTGAGACCATTACTCCTTGTTCTGTCATCTGCTACCACTGAGAGCAGTCTAGATCCATCCTCTTTGGAACCCCCTTTCAGGTAGTTGAAAGCAGCTATCAAATCCCCCCTCACTCTTCTCTTCCGCAGACTAAACAATCCCAGTTCCCTCAGCCTCTCCTCATAAGTCATGTGTTCCAGTCCCCTAATAATTTTTGTTGCCCTCCACTGGATGCTTTCCAATTTTTTCACATCCTTCTTGTAGTGTGGGGCCCAAAACTGGACACAGTACTCCAGATGAGGGCTCACCAATGTTGAATAGAGGGGAACGATCACGTCCCTCGATCTGCTGGCAGTGCCCCTACTTATACAGCCAAGAACGCCATTGGCCTTCTTGGCAACAAGGGCACACTGTTGACTCATATCCAGCTTCTCGTCCACTGTAACTCCTAGGTCCTTTTCTGCAGAACTGCTGCCTAGCCATTCGGTCCCTAGTCTGTAACGGTGCATGGGATTCTTCCGTCCTATGTGCAGGACTCTGCACTTGTCCTTGTTGAACCTCATCAGATTTCTTTTGGCCCAATCCTCTAATTTGTCTAGGTCCCTCTATATCCTATCCCTGCCCTCCAGTGTATCTACCACTCCTCCCAGTTTAGTGTCATCTGCAAACTTGCTGAGGGTGAAATCCACGCCATCCTCCAGATCATTAATGAAGATATTGAGCAAAACCGGCCCCAGGACCAACCCTTGGGGCACTCCGCTTGATACCAGCTGCCAACTAGACATGGAGCCATTGATCACTACCCGTTGAGCCTGACAATCTAGCCAGCTTTCTATCCACCTTATAGTCCATTCATCTAGCCCATACTTCTTTAACTTGCTGGCAAGAATACTGTGGGAGACCGTGTCAAAAGCTTTGCTAAAGTCAAGGAATAACATGTCCACTGCTTTCCCCTCATCCACAGAGCCAGTTATCTCTTCATAGACGGCAATTAGATTAGTCAGGCATGACTTGCCCTTGGTGAATCCATGTTGACTGTTCCTGATCACTTTCCTCTCCTTTAAGTGCTTCAAAATTGATTCGTTGACTGTGCATTGTGTGAAGAAATACTTCCTTTTGTTTGTTTTTAAACCTTCTGCCTATTAATTTCAGCATGTGACCCCTGCTTTTTGCATTTTGGGAAGGGGTAAATAACAGTTCTTTATTCTCTTTGTCCACACCATTCAACATGGGAGCTGCTTTGCCACCCCAGATGATGAGGAATCAGCTTGGGCACAGGGAAGAAGGAGCAGCAGATAATTAAAGCATTGTAAAAATCCACTGTCTAATCGTCCCATGGGAGTGGATGTACAGCAGCACTTGGGGCAGAAGGTTTCCATCTCACTCACATCGAACCTGCTGGCTATTAGTGCTTAATGAAACTGAGTTGATTTGCCTCCTAAAGAGTAGCCAAGTGCATTTGTTACGAGCTGGCATTGGGGACAATGGCTATCCAGACTTGGCAGGGTCCCAGTAAAGAGGGAATAATCCCCATACACTAGCATTATGTTGGTGGCCTTGTACTCTTCTGAGGAGATGGGGACAGAGAAGCTAACAAACGTCAGCCTAATGGATGAAACACAATGGAAAGAGAATAAGCTATCTGGGTAGATTTTCTTTATTGAAGGGGTGTGGGTGGGAATGAGGTTAACAGAGATACAAGGATGCATGTTAGTAGGGATAATATTGAAGGGGTTTATTATGTTTCTCTTTAAACACTTGTTTTAATCCCCTCTTATTGCTTTGTCTCTCTTAGGTATTTGTGGTCACTGTTTGGCACATAGAGCTTTACATGGTGCCTCTGGCTTTGTTGCTGCTCTTTGTTTACAACTTTTCTCTGATCACAACAGGGAAGGTCAGCAGTGCCCAGGACACCCAGGCAAGTAAAGTAAACTAATGTTTCAGGGCCAATTGTAATCTGCCTTTGAGCAAAAATGATCTTACAGTTTACGGGTTTTCAGCTAGTTCTATGTCCAAATGGTATTCTATTTCTAGGTTCCTGTTAAAAACAAAATAATAGTCTCTAGAGTTTTGTGGTTCATTTCATGTCATAAACCATTGTGGGACAAAACTTACTGCTGTTAAACAGCTGCAAAGTTTCAAATAGTTTTAATCAAAGAATGGGACAATACTTGGCCCTTGGATCTCTCAGATTGCAAGGAGGCATGATTTGAACCCCTGGGTCCATATCCAGCCCTGCAGTTTATTTTTCAGGAATGATTCAGGACTTCCTGGGGCTGAGGAAGGCCAACACAACCCCAAAAGAGAGGCCAGTTTTTAAAAGTCTATTCTGTGAGATCGATATCATCCTCGTCTTATTTTTACTGTGACTTTAAAAAGAAAAACAAAGCTGTTCAAATCCAGCTAGATTTCAGTTTTAGATCTGATTTTTGAATAAAAGTCTTTTCTGTGCAAAAGTAAATTTCAGCATGGAACTCTGTTATGATACAAAATGTCATTTCTGTGATGTTAATGTTAGCACTCTTCGAACATGTTATACATAGCACAGGTCATTGAAGTTAGAAAGAAATAGAGTAAATTAACACCTAGAAGATTCTGTTTCAAAGCTTTATGATAATTCTGATAATGACATCCAGGCAAATTCCCTTTTTGAAATGTTCATAGAAAAGCATTGTCATTTGTACACACAAAAAGCAACTTAACATAGTGCAACCACATGGAGATCTTAAATGAAGGAATAAATGGCATCCTAGGTCAAATATGTATTAAAAAAATAATTTTAGCTAGTCAAGTTGTTCCTAGTGAAGTTTTGAGTCATTCCAAGGTCAAAAGTAGTTACAAGATGATGAAAATCATATTTCAATAACAGGCGACTCTATGCAGATTTGACATGAGGATAAATGGTGAGAATCTGCTAATCTCCAATGTCGGGAAAGTCGGAAGTATTCATAAGTGTATTGTGTATGTTCCCTGAGTCCTTTATTCCATCACCAAAATAGGAATTTCCCACTGGGGAGAATCCAGGACAAATAGTTTATTAAATATAAAAGATAATCTATAAAATAATCTTGAGACTGACTAACCAGATAAAACCAGGAGAGTGCAGAGTTAATGGCTGCCACTGCCCATCGCTCATTCAGTGATGTGTTGTGTACCCTAGCAAACAGAATCTCACTGAAATCTTTATTGTGCTTGTGATGGATACCACAAAGTGCCATGCGTATACAGCTGAAAAGTACAGAACAGCTATTTTCAACAAGACTTTGGTTAATCAAAAGTTGGTCACTTCCCCTACATATGCAACCTGGGAGTAAGGCACACCATATGTGCATATAGTAATGCCACTGACCTCAACAGGATGCTCTCCGGTAAGCAAAGTTACACACGTGCACCCAAGTGCTTTGCTGGATTGGAGCCTTACTGAGCCTCTAGCAGGTCAAAGCATCTTTAATATCCCTTGGATTCTTTTTCTGGTACCCAGATTCTGAGCTTTCTGAATTCCAACTCTGTATATCTCCTGTAGCTCAAAATAGGTAGTGTTGCTCTGAGTTGCATATGCTCTGGGTGGGAGGAGTGGGTAGTATAACTGTCCCTTTTTCAAAATACCAGTGGTTTGAGTACAATCCTATTCTTTCTGCTCATCCAGACCTTGGCTGCACGTGGAGTAGCTTAGTTTTCTTCATGCCTACGTACCCATGTAAATTTTCAAAAACAAAATTCATTTTGTCCATTCTGAATGCACATCACGTTCTCTGGAAATGTGGAACCCGAATCATGTGCCTCAGTTTCCTGAGCTGTAAAATGGGGATAATATTAACCTAGCGTACATTACTAGGCTTCTGTGAGGCTATAATCATCAGGACTTGCAATATGTTTTAAGAATCTCAGGTGGGAGCTGCCATAGATATGGAAAATATTATTATTACTATTAACCTAGCTACGCAAGGCATTTCAGCAAAGACATTGGCAGATCTGGAGGTAGGACTCACATATCCTAGCTCTGAGGCCCTTGCTCTGATGAATAGATACCACTACCTCCCTAAATAAAGCAACCTTTAATTATGATCCTTCACATCCCAACATTTCAGTGATGTTTAAACATTTTAATATGGTAATTCAACTCTTCCTATTGAATAAGCAAGACCTAAATTAACTTGGAGGATCCTGTTAAAGGCTCAGCTAGAAAAACGCTTGAATTGAAAGCCAGGGGTCCCTAAGTTCACACCCTAGCCAAGTCTTTTGTTTTCTTCCCTACCTGTCAGAGTGGGAGTCAAACTGAAGGAATAATGCTGTATAGAAATCTGTATGTGATTCTTGAGATTGATTATGTTCATACTAATGTATTTTCTTCTGTCTAATGTTTCTGTAATGGCCCTAAAGGGAGAGAGCAGTCATTGTAGCAGTGAGGATAGAACAAACTGAGTATAGAATCTTCAGCCTTGACATACCAACTGGTTCATTTATCAGACTAAGAACAAAGCTGTTTACAGACAGTAGAACTTGGCAATGAATTTAAAAGCCTGTTGCCTTCAGACTGCTGGGCTCAGCCACAAATACCTCGATGTAGACTTAAAATTTGCATAGGTTATTGCGTGCTATTGTTCCTGATCTTGGGGGGGAAAAGACCTTGAACATAGAGTAATAAAATAAAAATGGTAGTTTAAAAAAATGGTTTAGAACTAAATGTACCAAATGAAATGTGATAAAAGTTATGTAAATGTTTTGAACCTCTGACTGTCAATGAGGAATTTTAATATGGACATATGTTTTTCAGGAGACCACATACCTGGATGAGGATGAAGATGAGGATGACAAGGTAAGTGTGTCACATGTAGGTACACCAGTTAGAATGAAATAATGCAAATGATGCAGTCTTACTCCAGGAGATTGTGGTTTATACTCTGCACAGGCTGCGGGGTGGGGGAAGAGGCGGTTTCTATTAATGATGGGCAAACCTGAGAATATCTGAGGTTTCATTTGGATAAGCATTCCAAAGTGTGGATGCCTATTTGAAGCTTATAAAAACTGATGTCCCTTTGGAGTCCCCAAAAGTGTGCTAGAAATCACGGGGAAAATTGTACTCTTTTGGGTACAATATTTCTTAACAATTCCAGTTCTGAATCTCAGATGGAAATTCTATCTGAATAACATTTCTTGTGGTATTGAGGCATTTCCAGTTTTTGTCCAAGTTGGAGACCAGAAATGCTGAGATTTGTGGAGGGCTGGGGAGAGTTATCTCAATATTTCAGACCCTCCAAAAATGTTGGTTTTAGTTTGGCTCCTGAAATGTACAAAGGATTGCGGTTGAAGAGAGGTGCCTCTTAGTTTATCTGAATATACTTGCTCATCCTCCCGCTTCATTCTGAAAAATACATCGGATTCTTTCCAGTTTATCAAACCAAGATGACAAATGATAAAAAGGATTAGAAGGCATGACATATGAAGAAAGATTACGAGAACTTAATATATACATCTTACAAAAAAAACATAACTAAGTGAAGGGGAATCTGATAGTCTATAAATTCTTTCAGAACTAAAAGGTAAGGAATTATTTAATGAATAACTGTTAGCAAAAGGAATTTAGATTTTAGGGCATAAATATTCACAAGGTTATGTGCAACTTGCAAAATTTCATAATAACTTGGCATGCCATTTCTTGAATATTCCATAGGTTAATAGAACGTTGAAATTAACTGTTCAGTAGTAAATCAAAGTCATAGTTAGTATACAAACCCTTAACATTACCCACTTGTGTACATTAGGGTTCGATCTAAACAAGCTATTTGCTGGGAACAACTTCTTTACATTTAGCTTACTGTTCTGTCAGAAATTTAAAAAAACTGAGCAGAAATCTGAGTTTCATACAGCTACCAGTTATTATTCAAAACTATGTAACAAATAATTTATTTCAGACTGTGGATTCCTCACAGTCTATGTACCACAACTATCAGTTCAAGTCTTCTCATTTATAATTCACTGTTTGCATTGTGTGATTGGTCAACTAACTCAAATGTTGTTGTTTCTGCTGAGTGAATGATCCTAAAGTCAACAAGAATCTTTCTTGATGGCCACTGAATGCTTCTGGTGCTAATATTTGTGCTCAGACATATTTGTGCTAGTGTTCCCAGGTGAATATTCTTCCAAACAAAAGTCACTGTGCACTGAAATTTGCAGAAAATTAATGAAAAGTAAATTGACTATTTTTATTTGAATAAATCTTTATCATTACATTTTTGGTAGTATTTGTCTATACTGTAATCATGATAGTCTGATTCACATATTAGCACATTATATCATTCCTCCCGCTTATTTTATGCTTACAATAAAGCATGGCTAACATGTTCAAACTAAGAGTTGCATGATTTTCCATGGAGTGGTAGATGTTCAGCATGTCTGAAAATCAGAGGAGTTTCCTAACTTTAGGCACCAGATTTGAAAATGCGAGCCTTCATCTTTATTGGTGTATGGCCTCATTCTTCAGTGTTTACTCACTTGGACAGGCCTATTCGCTTTCGTTTTACCACATTACTTTTCTTCATTTGTGCATGCTGCTTCAGAGAAAACTATCTACCTTGTCTTAAAGCTCTAGACAGTTAAACCATGAATTTGACTGTACTATGTGCCTGTGACCATGGTTTAGAACAATAAAACAAGTCTCACTGGTGTGTGGAGGGGGAGGGAGGGAGGTGGTTCTGTTTTGCTACGTAGAGGCACACAGTACATTTCACCTTATGTAAAAAAGGGGGGAAAGGACATTTGAAGATTTGTTAAATAAGCGTTTTGTCCAAAATTGGCAGAGGACTATGCAATAAATGAATATACTACAAAGCCAAAATATTTAGGTCCAGTTTTACACTGATGTAACTACACCAATTTCTATAGGGTTACTCTGTTTTTGCACATGGATAACTGAGATATGAGTCTAATTGCTCTGCATTTTGCACTTCTCCAAACTTGACCTTATTCTTCTTTTACCACTTTGGTTTTGGAATGCTCCTGAGAGACAATGTTCAAAATGCTGGTTATTTGGGAGGACCATGATGCTGTGGTCAGTGTTGCTTCTAGACCTCACTGCTATATGCATTAAGTATTCATGATACCTGGCAACTCATGAAACTGGGTGGAGCTATTCATAGCAGAGGCAGCTGCTGTGCCAACTCTGTTATTACATTATCAGGTGCCCATCACCATAATACTTCATAGCTAAATCTCACCATAACCATACCATGTAACCTGTAATAGAGTATTAACTTAGACCCTTGTATGACCATCCTGTCAAGTGTACTCCCTTTTTGGATAGTAAGCGAAATGGCATGTGTGCATTGAGGGGAGCCTAGATCCTTAAGTACATTTAGCTGTGCTCAGTATCTTCATAGTTTTTCAAGTGCGGTAGTGATAGGGGTGGTCGGAACACCCTTGCGAGTTAAAGAAAAATGAGTTTGATGACATTATCTCTATGCAATGTCTGCATTTAAAAGAAAAATATACATTTTTTTCCTATTACAGGAACTCCTAAAGTTGAAATCTGCTAGTAGGGTCATAGTATACAAGGTCACTGTTTCTGTTTCCTGTCATTAATGTGTTGTATCAAAATACTCGCACACATAGCTCTTCTGGATTCTGTTGCATGTTAGACATAACAGACCGTGCTTCTGGGAACTGTAACACGACCCCTGAGAGATGAACTGTTTACAAATTATAAACACACAGACGCTTAGTTCAAAAACAGAAGAGCAGATTAACTCCCTTCCACCTAAACGATCAGTCTTGAAAATGACAAGGCTTAATTGCTAGCTCCTCCTTTCCCCACAAATGCCGACACAGAAGACTGTGAAAGATAAGAATGCTTCGTCCCTTTGGCACAATCTGCTCAGTGGATGAATGCCTTCTCGGATTCTTGCCATCTTGGATGCAGATTTCAGACTCTGGGGTCTGTCAGGCTATAGCTGTCTGGAGCGGGGATTGTTTTAAAATTACATCACTGTGGCATCTTTCACCCTCCAATACAAAGGTATAGAAAAGTTGCATACAACTCATAAGGATTTTGTAATACTCTTTTGGAAGTGGCATGGAATCTTTCATGACCTCAGGTTGTCGGGATCTTAGTTTTTCTTTTCCTACAAAAGAGACCAAACAAAGTTGCTGCCAATACCGGGTTTGGAAATTGGTTCAGCAGAAACTCGAAGGAAGGATGATCAAGTGATTAGGGCACTAACCTACGGTCGGTTCCTTGCTCTGCCACAGACTTCCTGCATGGCAAGTCATTTAGCTTCTGCGCCTCCATTCCTCATCTATAAAACGGGGATAATAGCACTGCCTCATCTTGCAGGTGTGTGGTGAGGTTAAATACATTAAAGATTGGCAGGTGCTGCAGGGGGCATATAAGTTACCATAGATAAATAAGGAAAACTGCTCACTACTGAATCGATTCCATTTTCTGCAGCATCACCTGTTACTTTGGGGGTCTCCCATCCAAATAGTGAGTAGCACAGCCCTGCTAAGCTACTGAGATGCAATGGGATCAAATCAAATAAGGCTATGGCTGCAAGCAGGGTTATTTACTAACTTCCAAGAAATATAAAGTGTCTTATGCTTGGAAAAGAAATCCCCAAAGGAAAAAAAAGGCATTTTTTCTGATATAAGAAAATTTCTGTTGTACTAGTTGGTACCAAAAATACACCAAGTTTTACAAGCACAGTTCAGAAAGGCTCCAGCCAAACAAATAAAAGTCAGATTCGTCCAGTAGCAAACAGCTGACATTTTCCATTTGTGTTAGATTTAGCATGTGGAAACCTTCCGTATGAATCTTATTTGTACGGGTGGTTTACAATGAAAATTGCATTAATTTTCTCCACAGTAAAGGTCAGTAATTGAAACATGAACCAAGAGTCTATTGTGTAAGACGATATATCCCTATACTTAGGAAAGGTCACTCAAGACAATATCATCTCATTGTTTTCATTCCTTAGGGTAAAAACAATTGCATTAGGGTTTTTTCACCCCTTCAATTTAACAATCATATATAATATTTCCACATCTCCCATTAATATCACTGAAGACTAAAGATGATAAAGGCTTGAAAGTACAATAAGCTACAAAGAGTGTTCTTGTGCTAACAATGCTGTTTTAATACTAGCTGTCTGATAGACAAGGATGTTTCACCAGATCATGTAATGAAAGAAAATTAAGAGCATTCTACAGCCATATAAATAAGAAGAAAACAAAGAAAGAAGAAGTGGGACCGCTAAACACTGAAGACGGAGTGGCGGTTAAGGATAATCTAGGCATGGCCCAATATCTAAAGAAATACTTTGCCTCAGTCTTTAATGAGGCTGATGAGGATCTTAGGGATAATGGTAGCATGACAAATGGGAATGAGGGTATGGAGGTAGATATTACCATATGTGAGGTAGACGCGAAACGCGAACAGCTTAATGGGACTAAATCGGGGGGCCCAGATAATCTTCATCCAAAAATATTAAAGGAATTGGCACATGAAATTGCAAGCCCATTAGCAAGAATTTTTAATGAATCTGTAAACTCAGGGGTTGTACCATATGACTGGAGAATTGCTAACATAGTTCCTATTTTTAAGAAAGGGAAAAAAAGTGATGCGGGTAACTACAGGCCTGTTAGTTTGACATCTGTAGTATGCAAGGTCTTGGAAAAAATTTTAAAGGAGAAAGTAGTTAAGGACATTGAGGTCAATGGTAAATGGGACAAAATACAACATGGTTTTACAAAAGGTAGATCATGCCAAACCAACCTGATCTCCTTCTTTGAGAAAGTAACAGTTTTTTTTTTAGACAAAGGAAA